GTTGAGACATAAGTCCTCTAATCCTTGATATATTCTTCAGGTGATAGGAGGCTGATTATGTAATTGTCTTGATGAGGCTGTTCAGGTTGAGGTCTGAATCCATAACTACACCTAGATTTCTGGCTTGTTTGTGGGTTTTAATATCAGTGATTGAAGCTGAGCGGTGACTTTCAATCGTTCGTCCTTGGTACCAAAAACAATTACTTCTGTTTTATCTTTGTTTAATTGAAGAAAACATGTGACAGTAACGTGTCCGTTTACATTCCTTATGTTGCAAATTCAAAAAATGCACAACTACTACTGTATGTTTTTTTGTTTGTTGTGTTGGAAATGGACAACAACTGAATGTTCCTGCATCCATGTGTTGCATAATGACAATAAATGATCCTTGAAATCAATAGATTTAGAAAACCTGTATGGAGTAAATCTAAGCTAAGCTAATGAAACGCTTCCTGTTCCACAACATGTTGCTGCTGTATTCTCAATACAATGCAAGTACTGTGAAGCATGAGCAGGAAGTGATGTAGTATCGGCATATTAGTGCTGATACAGCAGCAACACCTGGATAATACCAGAATTAGGTCAGTATGACACTGGATCATTGCATTATTACAAATAATGAATTTGAGTTGTGGCACAGACAGAAGCAGAGCAGGAACCTGAAGCAGCCCATGTGTCCATGTGCTGCATGTGTCCTTGTCTACATGTGTCCTTGTCTACATGTGTCCTTGTCTACATGGGTCCTTGTCTACATGGGTCCTTGTCTACATGGGTCCTTGTCTACATGTGTCCTTGTCTACATGGGTCCTTGTCTACATGTGTCCTTGTCTACATGTGTCCTTGTCTACATGTGTCCTTGTCTACATGGGTCATTGTCTACATGTGTCCTTGTCTACATGGGTCCTTGTCTACATGGGTCCTTGTCTACATGTGTCCTTGTCTACATGGGTCATTGTCTACATGTGTCCTTGTCTACATGTGTCCTTGTCTACATGGGTCATTGTCTACATGTGTCCTTGTCTACATGTGTCCTTGTCTACATGTGTCCTTGTCTACATGGGTCCTTGTCTACATGTGTCCTTGTCTACAGTACAATGTGAAACTGTGCTTTGGATAGAATGTGAATGTTTTCAGAGGATGGAAAGCCAAAACCGGTACAATGCATATTTAAATGCATATGGACATCTACAGTGTCCAGTGCAAGCATTATAATACAGGAACTTGTGTCTTCACAAGACTTAAGGAATTCCGGTCTCAACATGATTCATGTTGCAAATGTGAGAGAAAAAAGGGAAGAAGATGAGCATGCAGCTGTAAAGCCAACACAGCACTTCCTTTCTTGTGTCTTGTCACTGGCAGGAGGAACCGATGGGTGACACAGGAAGTCAAATTGGTTAGAGGTGAACAATTTCACTGCTGACTTTTAAGTCCCGTCTTCCTTAACGTGACGACAGCGGTCCCAGAAAAAGAAATAACGTGCAATGAATCAATGTGTCATCAATCAATGAAACATGTTCAGTGGCAAAAGTCTGCCGAGTCTCTCAATCTGAGTCTGATGAACAGCTGTCTCCAAGGTGCTGAGTGTGTCCAATGGATCGGTTGAGTCTTCTTTCAGGAGTCCGGGCTGTTGTTTCACAATCTCATTGTGCAGCCACAATATGTGGGCTTCTTTCCGTTCCTCCAGCAGATTTTTACAGCTTCTACATCAGAACATTTGAAATATTTCTTCTCGTTTCTGCAGCTAACCATCAGTTTCATCATCAAATATTCATTTAGCCTTTAAAATGTCTCAAGAATCAATCGGCTAATATTCTAGATTTCACGGCTGTAGCCAAAGTGATGTAACTTGTTCCTGACATGTTGTTTGTGTCAGGCCGATGCACACCATCCTGCTGCTGTAACTAAAAAACCAAACGTGTATTAATCCGCAGCTGAAAGTAGTCCCCTGCAAATGCACTTCATACTACTGTCTGAGTAACGTCTGCTTAAAACTACAGTTCCCATGCAAAGACTTTTTACTCAGCTAGTAACATACAGTGTGAGTTCACTTCATTCAGAGATCTTCTCCTGTGGACAAGAAGAGACAGCTTTCCAGACTCCATCTAATTCATGGTTTTATTGTGTAGTTGACAGAAGTTGCAGAAAACTGGCATGAAGTAGACACAACTGTGTGGAATGATTTGTAACAAAAGAACTCTATGGCTTACCGAGCACGACACTGAATCTATTTACAAACTCAAATCAACTCACTGACGGTTTGAAAAGTGGAGCTAAAAGCTTTTTTCTTTTATAAATATCAGAAGGGGAAAGGAAGGACGGCCGATGGGCCTGAAGGGGATAAAAGTCTCTTTCACCGAGACAGCTTAACACTCAACAGAGTTATACAAATCCCATTTTTCTGTTATGGCACCAGCATCAGAGCAGGCCCTGGCCTCGCTGTGCCCGTCGCGGATGCTTCATCTTCAGCAGGTAGAACAGAGCCGGAGGCCCTGAAGCAACACGTAGAAGAGAACAGCTCAACAGATACAACCATAGGGTTAGAGATAGATCTGGACTGTCACATGAGGTATTGTGGATCAAAGCATTTCTGTACATTGTCTCATTTTTCCTTTTTTTTGGAATAGTTAGGAAAATCATATGTAATTATAAACAAAAAAAATAAAATGGATCACATAGAATCTACATAAAAACAAATGAGGAAGTCAATAAAACAATTTTCTATGAGAAAATTCAGACCTAGAATGGCAGTATATTGACATTTATATGTATAAAAAAACACCAAAAATGTAGCAGCAAACAGGAGAAAAGCATCGTTTTTAATCCATTACGTTTTTGTCATCGGTTTTCTTTTTCTTTTTTTTTTAACACGTAGCTGGGATTCATTTTCTATAGCAGCGGAATACGAGGAGTGTTTCTCTCCTTCTCTCTCTCTCCTTAATGTACAATCAGAAAGCTAACAGGGCTCCCACACAGTCTGCCTCTCTGCACGCTGGATGTGTAGAGTCGTCCTGCTCGTACTCATTGGTCCATCGTATATAAAGCAAACACCAACCTTGCCATCACATCTCTGCCGGCCTGTGTAGGAGCCCTGACTTGAACTCGACAGCATTAAGTCACACCTCCCTGTTGAGCCTTCACCCTTTTTGCCCCTCTTGCCACATTTCTACCCCTCGGTACACTTGCCAGCTTTGCTTTCCACATTTCTTTCAGCAAGTCCCTAAGAAATGCAGCCCACGCCTTTTAGCTTTGTGCAAAATCATAGTCTCAACACTTGTTTAAGCTTCACCCCCTTCCCACAACCCATGAGCAGTACTTGAACTGAGGTGGAGCGACGGAGGCAGTTTTACTTTTACAAACATTTGTGGACGGCAGGGCTGCTCCGGAGGCAGAAACAGTAGATGGAGCCACGGTTAGTTTGCAAACTATGAAAAGAATAAATAATGTGTTTAGCTATAAAAATAAAGTATTATTTGAATTGTAAAAATAATACTTTGGACTTTTCCTGGACCTGCAGCTTCTGGCTCTGCACACTGAAACAAAGAGGTTCTGATGGAAGAGCAGCTCTGCCTGAATGAAACATGTGTTGAACTAAAGCTGCCTGCAGACAGCTGCAGGAGCCACCGTGTCCAGCAGCACTCAGTCTGCCGTACTGCTCAATTCTTTTGTCCCATTAGATGAATCCGATCCAGGTCTGATCCAGATCCAGCTGTATGCAGGTGCTGCTCTGACTCCATCGTTGAAAGACTCCTGCTCAACCACCCATTACAACTTTATCGCGTTTTACAAACTCAATCACTGATGTTTCTTTAGGCGACCAGCAGCGCTGACCAAAAGTGCTTTTTTGTTGTTTTTAAACAGGGTTGGAATGGTTTAGTAGAACTACAGAGATAGAGACGGAGCAGACTGTGGAGCGCTCAGCACTCATCTCATCACATTACAGCAAGCTGACATGAGCAAAGTCAAAGAATGACATCAGCAGTCCACAGTCACTAGGACAAGAAAACAGGTTGGTTTAAAGAGGTCGAACATGATATATGATAAAGTGACTAAACATAAGCAAGCAGGGATATATGAATGTTTGCAGACATGGGAGCTTGGACAGGAAGTCTAAAAGATTAGAAATAACCATAAAGAAATAAAAAGAGAAAAAGCCTCTTCTCTTTAACAAACGTTCAGAGACCTGAAGACAGACTACGAGGACCTACTGTACACGACGCTTTGGGATGTTTTAGTAGGCAAGTTAAGTCTGCGGTAATTTAAAGATTCCTAGTTTAATATTTGAGGAAATGAGAAAAACAATCGACTAAAATGTCTGTTTTGGGGCTTCAACTCCAGCCCACACAGGTCATCTGTATTCGCTTTCTTCTCTCTCTTATACATTTCTGTAGTGTTCATTTCTTTTCCCAGGATGGGAGGGGACACTGGCAGGAAATGGGACTGTGACTTGGGGTTTTCAGGGGGAGGAG